ATGCACTTACCATTAAGAACTGCCATGGGGGAATACGAGTTTAATTTGAATTTTGCCATCCAACAACCGGGTTTATATTGGCAAACTTCAATAAATTACACCACCATTAATCCTGGCTGCCAGGCAAAAACGTGACGCGAGTTGCTCACAGGCAGGAAGCCAGCGATTCCTTAGCCAAACGACTTCAATTTCCATGTGTGTTTGTTTGTTTGTTTGTTTGTTTGCATTTTCAATTTACCCAGCCACAAAGAAAATGCAGGGAAGGGGAAAAGCCAGGGGACTGGCTCATTTCGTTTGCCAAACGGGTAAACAATTTTCCACACCAAAACGAATTTCGCAAATTGATAATCATCAGCGGTTGGAATGGGAAGCAAGTACACATTGGAATTGCTCAAAAACCAATTTCGCTTGTGTATCAATGGTCTAAAATGGTTGAATAAAGAGAGCTTCTACTTCTGCTACTGCTGTTTCGAAAATGTCAATCCAGTCCAATAACGCAGTTGAATCAGATCTGTCCTTGGCCAAAACTGCATTATCATCTGCATAATGAAATCCATCCGCGGATGGTAATGATAAGCAAGTAAAAACAAAGCAGCGGAAAAAGCGCATTAAAATTAATTATGCTTTTTCATTCATTTCGCGAAAAACGCTTTTGCCTTCGCGCACAAACACTAACCACTTTTTCTGTTGGTCCTTTCCACGGTTTTTATTTAAGTTATTTTACTATCTATTGTTGTGACAGCTGCAAAATGAGATTCATAAATATCAAAGCTTTGCGCCAACCGTAAAAAATAAAACTATAGCATATAAATTCATTGACAAAACTGTGCTGGACTAACTGAGAAATTATGACATAAATTCAATTATGGAAGCACTGTTGAGCAGGTTAATGAAATGATGCCCGGGCAATATACTAGTATATGGAATATAGGCGGCAATTAATGGCGAACGTGTCCCGGGCATTAGCTTTAACTGCCGCCAAAGCTAAAGCCACAGCGCCATGCACGACTTGATCAAGAAATACAAGAGGAAATAACTACTCATTAAGCGCGATGGCCACGTAAACGGCCAACAGTCCATTGGGAGCTAAGAAATTGGCGGCCAGGAGTTGGCAGTTGGGAATTGGGCAGTAAGGGAGTTGGTGGCCGTTGGCAACTGCAGCTGCAGCAAACTATGGGCACGGAATGGTCGTGTGGTAATAGAAATCATTACAATAAAACTAAATGGGCCCGAAGCAACAGCCAAACGAGAGGCAATGGCCAAGAAAAGAAAGTCATTTGGCATTTGGCTGCCGCTCGGTGCGAAGCCTCCACAGCTTGGGATGAGCTGGCCCAAAATGAGCGCAGACAAATGGCAGACACGTAGAAGGCATCACGGGCAAAGGCAGACCAAGTCCAAGACCAACTCCGAGGCCAAGGCACAGACAATCAAAATCCATTTGAGTAGGAAATGAGCGAAATCAACAACGGCGTTGCTTATCTTCATGCCCGTCCTTTTGTGGCTACTCTTATATTCTTGAACTTGGAGAAATTCTTGACACTAAAAGGCAAAAACCAATTTAAAATGCTTTAACTTTCACGAAACTCCATAAGGATACATACTAAATCCCTTAAAGTTTAAATATAAAAATTAAATTTTGATTTTCCCGAACCCCGTTATTTTTCCCAGTGTACGCAAGGGCAGCTGCTGCAGCAGGTCGTGCCATAACTTCACATAAGGAGACGCATTTTTGCGGTTGAGGCAGAATTATTTTTCGGGAAATGTCAAGGCTCCTTGGTGGCTTTAAAATAATTACGAAACACACAGGAGGCGACACACAATGCCCGAGAAAGAGAGAGGGGCATAGTGAGACAGAGGGAATGGTAAAGAAAAGGACAAGATGAACGCTTCATCGCCTCCATTCGACTTGCTCGGCTGGCTCGACTCCGTTAAGCTTTTGAGCGCATTCCTCAGCTTCTTCGGCATGCAAGTGAAATATGTTTTGATATTAAATTATTGTCGGCACGCCCCAACAGCCACAACAACAACACCCTACTCACACACACACACACACACACAGATAGTCTCAGATTATATGGGGCACGTGCAGTTCAGGACGCATAATAATTGCCGGTTGATAGCTCAGCCAGCTCAGCCCATTGGGAGGATGCGTATCCTTTCGCATCGCTTTTCCTTTTGCCGGAAAAGCCGCAAGGCCACAAGCTGTAGTCGACGCAGAAGCTGGGGCAAAAGCTGTAGGAGAAGCTTAGCTGGGGCATACGCTCCAGCTGAATTCCGAAAAGCAAAACTGGAATTTTTATTGCAAATTGCGAAATTTTAACTAAAAAAAACAGAACGCAGCCAGTGAAAACGATGAACATAGTCATAGTCCTTGCCTCATTGTTTGGGGAATGCTTCACAAAATGTTCAGTGTCACTGCAAGAAATTGCTACTCATGCCAATGAAATCAATAACACTGTGTAACAAACCCCGATATTATTTCAAGTTTTAAAAATTAAATTATTGAATCTCTCTATACAACTTTTTAGTTTCTTCCATAGTAAAACACTCACCATCCCTGCTTTTTATATTTTCTTATTCGAAAAAATAATGAGCAACTTATAAAACAAGAACACAGTGTAACTCTTAGTCCGGCACTTTTATGCATTTTCTGTGCAATCCCCCGCACAGATCCCAGTTGTAATTTGAATAATTTATTAAGGTTGAACTTTTAGCGCAGCGGTCAAGAAGTTGTCCAAAGCGCCTTAAAGGTAATAAACAAAACTCTTTTTTTATATATTTTTGTTTATGAATCGTTGCCCGAAGGATGGCGCAAAGGGAAAAGCCGGAAGCAAATCATTGAAATGTTTCATTTCCTCAATTTGAGGTTGGCCAAAGTGAGGGGGAAAATCTTTTCTTTTTTTCTTTGCCGAAGCAAAGAGAAGGAAAGCGGATTGAGAAAAAAAGGAAATAATTCCAAAGTAGCGGAAAGCGAGGAACTATGGAACTGAACGATTTAGCAGGATGGGGAAAATGCGGAAGGCAGGTGCATCAACAAAAGGTAAAATCTATGCAAAGAATATTCTCAATATACGAGGAACGTCAGCGCTTTTCACTCAATTTCCAACTGGAAAATCACTTTTTCCCCCACTCTATCCGTTTTTATCTTTTTTTTTTTGGTAGGTTTTGTCCTTCGGCACGTTCAAGTGCAGCCATTAAATATCTTTTGCTTGAGTGAGTCCAAAAATTGTGTGGAAATTAAAGACGACAAATCACAAAATCGCCAAATTGGTCAAAACAAGTGGAAAATCACAAATTGTGGCCGAAACAACCGAAACGTGGCCAAGAGGTTAAACTCGATGGGACTCGCATTGTTTTTTTCTTTTAATTTTTCCCGTTTTGATTTTTATTTTCAGCCAAAAAGGCTGACATCCCGATCCCGATTGATTAGAAGGCAACCCACATTTGAGTATTGATTTACTCCCGCTGATACATCACGTATACGAACTGATGCCCGAACTGGAGTGCGCTGCGACTGCGGGTCTTCATCCGCTCTTCCACTCGACTGACCCCGTGTATACCTGCTACCGTTTTTAGTTAAGACTTCCGATTTGTGTTTGGAGCACATCCCCTTTGGAGTTTCAGGCTTCCGTTCGCTGTAATTCTCATGATTCACCCATCAAAGGGGTTTCTATTAAATTGAATAAATAAGGATCAGACTGAAGTAAATTTGTGGTGTTGTTTTTGTTTTAAAGTGAATTATTAGTTAGAGATCTTGAAGAATATCCAAAAAAGACCAAGTCGAAACCTAGGAATTTTAATATCTGACTCACATCAGTATCAGCATATGATTCTTTAAAGACATCAAGCAATTTCCTATTATTATTTTTAGTAATTTATAGCTGATTAATATTGGCCACAGCTTGGCTAGACTTCCAGCTTTTTAGCCATTATCATATATCCCGAACTTTCTTTTTTCAAGGGAATAATACCATTGTGTGACATTTAAGACATGCGACACCATTTGGCAGAAAGAAATTCTCTTTGATGCGTCAGCGCCGTCCGAAATATACACAATTGTTTTCTAATTTTCCCCCGGCGAATCCAATACGCTTGATGACCAAGGCGCTGGGGAACTTCTTTTATGCACGCAGCGCATTAAATTGAATTTTAAATGAAGATTGATTTTTGCGCTCGACCCGCAGCAATAGAAGCAATAAAAAGCAAATGAAAAGACGAAAAAAATGGTAAAAAGGCGAGAACCGATGCCAGAGCCACTTGCCAAGAAACCAAAAATGAAACAAAACCAAAGAATAAAAAAAGGGGAGCATAAAAAAAGCCCAAAACAAATGCTGCCCATTGTAATTAGAGACAATGGAAGTGCCATCCCTTGTGACTGCAGCGGACGACCCTTTTCGCCCTTTTGCCCCTTGGAAGCCCGCCAATCTTCGGGGTCCTCTTATCTAAATTAATTCAAATGCCAGAAAGAAACACAAATAATTAAAATTAATTATGTGGAAAATATTCAATAAGTTGGAAATTATGCAAACGAGCGCAAAGTAAACGTCCCCAAAAGATAAAACTAAGTGCAATTTCGAACGTTCGCTGGGAGCGTCAAACATTTTGTTGACCAAAAATATCTTCTCTTCTACTTAGCATTGATGGACACAGTCCGTTGGACGATTGACGGAACGGACAAATGGATAAATGGATGGATGGATGGATGGTTGAATGGTTGAATGGATATGCGTATTGTCAGGCTGGCAATGCTCGAAAGATTTTCGGAAAATTTTCGAAAGGGGAACGAATTGTTCGCATTCGAGTTAGGAATAGCAACAATTTCCGGCATTTCGTATATAAACTGAGAAACCGAAAATGCGCCACAGTTCGTATTCGTTTCGTTTGGATTCGTTATAGTCGGCTGGTACGTTTTTCTGACCGAAAGTAGCGCAGATTACTTAAAAATACCAAAAACCGAAAAATTAGAACAGCAGCGCAATTTCTCAGTTTTCAGTTTTTCAGCGGTTTTTCTTCCGATATTCCGACTCTCCGATCCGGCATTCTCCGTTCGCATCTGGTGCGAGTACCACGAACTGCTGAACAGCTGCCGCCGGTGGTGCTTCATTACCCATTTAGCCATTCCGCTTTTGTTGGCCGCGCGAAAAACATGAAATTGAAAATCAATCTGACGTTCCTCTGTGCGACACTCGTCGGCCTCCTGTCCATCATCCTATTGACACAGACCGCGCAAATCGAGGCCTTTGGAGGCGGCAGTTCGGCCAATGGGGCAGTGGTGTCATGCAAAGAGCTGAGTAAGTGTCTAGGAATGCCGCAGTACATTTTTTAGATAAAAAGAAAAAGAAAAATTGATTTGATTGATTGACACAGAATTTATGAAAAGCCAAGGACATTTCTCGTTCTCGGAATTTTAAAAGACAAATGTGGCATTTTTCATGAAGAACTACAAGTCCCGGGGTTAGAAACTAAAGTTAGAAAACTTGAAAAGCTTGAAAACTTGTTAAAAATTCTCAAATTATTATTTAAAGGCAATTCTTGATTAAAAATTAGCTTAAAATCACGTAATTATTTACACTTGCGAAGTGATTTAAATATTAATTAACTTAAGAAATCAAATTATAAGTTACAAAAGGCTTAAAGTAGACTAAAATGACTTTCAATATTGATATTATTATTTTAACTGCAGCATTAAAATCAATTTTAAATTCCAGTTTATCAACTTTCCATAAAAACCAATCATTTTCTTTAAGGTGTTAACTTTCCTTAAGCCAATAGCTTTCACTTAATAATAATTAAATTACAAAGTGCATTGAGCTATTATTTATGGCAAAGGTAAATAGCAATTACAGCACTTTGCCTGAAGAATAATATATTTCGGTTCTTGCCAAGTTTTGTCCACACGCTTTTCTTTTTTTTTTTTTTTGTCTTTTTGGCCGGGCAAAGTCAATTTTGTCTGCGAAATTGTTCTATTTTTCCGCATATGACTACAACGTGGCCAGGGAATTATGAAATATTCTGTCGTCTGCCTCGAAGCCCGTATAAACAAACAAACGTAATTGCACTTAATGAGGCCAGTCGAGTTGGCCAACCGAAACGTGGATGTGGAGCATTTCCAGGTGGCGATTAACCAATGAATCTGCCTTTTTGTTTTTTTGTTTTCAGACAATGTCAACTGCTATGTGGGCCGGAATGAGGGAAACTTTTGCAGCAGCAAGGATAAGACCAAGGCCGTAACTCGTTGGTATTTCGACAAGGGCCACTGCAAGCCCTTCAACTACAAAGGCTGCAATGGCAATCGCAATCGTTTCTGCTCACAGGATAGCTGCGAATCGCGCTGCGGCGATTGATTATAGGATTACTGGATATATCCCTACGTACTTAGTCGATAAGTTTGTACGCGTATGTTTAGACTAAGAGCAAATAGAGATCGCATCGCACACTTAGCAAAAATAATATTTCATTTAATAAAGCATATTTTTTGGTTCAAAATGTATCTCTCTTAGTTCCCACAATTTTAAAGGTTAATATTTATTTCAACACAAGCAAGATAATATTCAATTTATTTATTAATTTCTTCATTTAAATTCTATACTTTTTTAATAACGCCTACACTACTATTCTAAAAAATAATTGCTTTTACTAAGAAATAAATAAATAGCTCATCAAAATAAAAGTAAAACAGCAAAGATCTGTTTTTAATATTTAATAGCAGTTTGATGATATATAAAAGCTGTAATTTAGTAAATTTAACTTAATTTTTCAGTTTTTTCGACCTTTTTACTTTGTAACCACTTTATCTCTAAGTGCAGCCAGCAAACATCTCAAGTGTTTAAGTGTTCTTACCTTTGATCAAACGGATTTTGACTAAATGCCGCCCAAAAATAGACACTCAAATGTTGTAAGCTGTCACCGGTGGATCGGCACTTTGCTCACTGTCAGGGCTATATAAAAAGCAAAAATAAAAACAAAAAAAAAAGGAGAAGAAGACCAGGGTAGAAAAAATGCGCCAAATGTGCTAACTGTCAGTGGCATATCAAATGGCCCCTTGACATGGCACCGACAGTGTCGCCAAGATTGTGACTGCCACCCATTCCGCGGGCTTTTAATGCCCATCCCTCCTCTGATGCTGACGTACTCCGGCTACTGATGCGGCTGGACTATGTCAGCGAAAGTGGGAAGCCACCAGATGATGAGCAGATGGCCAGATGGTTAGTGTTCTGCACATCAAAGAGCCGTCAGTAACGGGGCCCTTTTTTGCGGCTATCGACTTACGGCTAATTAAAACGATCTACATTTGCATCTCTACCTGTGTTACCTGTTGACCCAAGCCGGGCAACTGGAATAGCATTAATTGCACTGTCGGCATCTGTCAGTTTTGACAGGCCTTTGTGTTGGCCAGGAGTAGGAGGATGGTGAATGGGCGGGTGAAGTTCAGTTGAGTTCGGAAAATGGCTTGATTGCTGTGCACAAACAAATGCCAATCAAATGCATAATAGCATCGACGAAACGAGACGAGACGCACAACATGGCATGCCACTGATGGCGGCACATTAATCTGTTTAAATGACAGCACTCAGGGTATCGAAAAAAAAACAAAAATCAGGAAAAGAATGGGAAATTCCGAAAGAAATTCAACCTAGTCATGTGCTAAAACTTCGCTCTCAATGACGGCAATTTTTGCCAAAAAAAAAAAAAAAAAGAGAAGCATAAAATACGTTATTGCCCGGCCAAAAACTGATCTACTCAACGCATAATTTCGACAGATGAGAAAATTTCGCAAACGTGCAAAGAAAACCCACTTTTTTCGCCAGCAAATTTGCATGAAATTAGTTTGCTCTCCGATCTAATTGGAAATTTAAAACGTAGCTACGCACGCAGACGGCAGAGCAGACAAAGGCCACTTTGGCGCTATAATTGAAAAATGGCAAATCCACTAGGCATTAGCTTTAGGAGCCGAATAATCAGCGATTTTCGCCATAAATGAAGCATGAGCCGGAAAAAATGAATGAAAATCAACGGATGGATGAGAGAGAATTCAACGTCGTAAAATGTTAAAGCCCAAAATCTCGACAGACATCAAAATGCATGTAATTTGATTATTTATCACATTTTTCTACATTTAACGACTCAATTGAGTTTTATGCGAACGAAAAAAAAAAATGAAATCGGAAAAGCAGAGAAGCTTCCCTCTTTGGGAAGATGATGATGATGATGAGATGGAAATTTCAGGGTGTGCTTTCGATTCAGTTTGCAGCAATTGTTGTCATCCTGGGCAAAGTGTAACGTTGCAATTCCATAAAACCAAAAACAGACGCCGTACTTTTTGGTCAATCAAAAAAGTTTCGTTTTGCCATGATGAGAAAAAAGCGGTAGCAGCAGGAGAACAACTTTGTCAAAGCTCGCAAAAGTATGCTATTCTAAATGTTTTGCTTAGATGGAAAACAGAATGGTTGCTCTTGGTGCCAGAGAGCTCTCCTGCCTGCCAGTTTGTTTGTTTGTTTATTTGCTTCGTTGCCTGTTTTCGTATTGCATAAATGGAAGTATGCCATAAAGCAGGCTAAAGCCATGAACCAAAGGAATTTATAAAACGCAAAATTTGCTTTTGTTAGCTCCCACAAAAAAGTACAAAAAAATCTGTGGATAGAGAGAGCGACGTCCACCCATGGGTTACCCATGGATTTTTTAACCATAACCCACTCCCTTTTCGGCTCCCTAATCTGTCTTGCATGTGTTCATATAAATTTTGTGTTTATTCGAGTGCATTTCCACTGCGTCGCACACTCAGCCGCAGTCGGCCACGTTTAGTGGCCATGGCCAAAACACACACAGCCATACTGGATTTCCCCACTGGCTTTGGGGCTTCATTTATGTGTGTTTTCCTGCGAGACAGAAAGAGATAGCGGATCACATAATGCTAGCCGGGTCAACTCAACTTCTGCAGTTGGGCTTTAACTATTTTTCCGTTTAAATAATTTTGAGGTGCTTCTTTGTGGTTAACTCTTAGTTATGTTTTGGGACTTTTTCCCTTTCCCTTTGGGATTGAATTAAAATTCCTCGTTGACTGAAATGAAAAGGAAAGAAGAAAGTTACCAATGAAATTTATTGCCATCGACTTTCTAGCGACTTATAAAAAGTTTGCTTTCAGCAATGTTTTCCACTGACTTCATCTTCAAAATGCGCGCAAAAGCGCCGTCGAGTAGTGGAAGCTGTGGCAAAAACTTAAACCCTTTGGCCAATTTAATTTCGCCGCTGTGGTTGCTGTTGCCTTTGTGTTTTCCACACAAATTGGTTTCTCATTCTGCTTGATTTCATGCACAATCTGGAGACGAGTTTCTCCAGGTGGCATACCGATACCGGGACGAACTCACTCCCTTGCAAACAGTCGAAAAAATAAACGATTTTGTACTTTATACTTCTAATCTTCTTCTAAAGAAGGATGAAAACTATTTAAAGTTCATATTAACATTTTATAAAACTAAGTTAGTTTTTAAAGACTTTTTTTGAATAAAATAAATGGCCATGATTTTTAATATTTTAGCATCTGCCTTAATGAAGCAGATTATCAAATTGGAAAAAGTTTATAGAAATTATTATTAATTTTAATCGTTTCGTTTCCCTTCTTAATTTTGAAATAAATAATTTTATATATTTTTCTTTCGGTTTAAAAATACTTAAAGCAGCGTCTTGGCACCTGCACGCTCTCACAGACCACTTGACTTGTTATCTGCTTTTGGCCGATCAGCCCACTTGCACTTGTTGCCACTTGAGCTTCTTATTCGGTGTGTGGGCGTGGTCCTATCTAGAACGATTCTTATATATATTATATATATATATATATACTTTATCCAGCCCCAAGGCATGCTCTTATTTATTTAGCTGGAATTTCGCGTTGCTGATGCTTGCTCACGCAATCGAAGTGTGTGACAAGAGCAAACAAGCTAGCGCAACTGCACCATTATCCTGCTGCAACACTGGATATCCCCCAAACGCATCCTGCGGGATTGTCTTGGTTCCTGGCAAAGCTGGCAAGGAGTGCACATCCAAACAGCCCTCAACTGGGATTGTTTGTTGTAGCTTAGTCACTCTGAAGGTGGGTCTTATTAACCTAAAGTAAATAGCAAAATTAAACAAACACTAAATTATAATACTTTTAGAGCGATGTTAAGGCTTAAAACTGATTCTAAGTTCCATGGTTACTTAAAAACTCTTCAAAGTCGTTTGAGTTTTAAATATTTTTTACGGTTCATTAAAGGCGAAGATGCTTAAAGTTCCAGAAACTATAAAAAGTACTTATTAGTTTTTATTACTCAAATCTAAACTTTATAGAGTCCTTTTTTAGCACTTAGTCATAAACAAAACCACCAAATTATAGATGTTTAAAAAATAATATGCTAAGCAGTAATGTTCTTAAGTAATGCTCTTTTTCCAACTAAAGCTATTTAATGACATTATTTTATTTTTTTTTTAATAAAGTTTAAGGAAGCATTCAGATGTAAACCAGTTTTAACTAGAGTTAAAAATAAAGCATAACGTCGTTAAATGGAGAATGTTTTTAACTTTGCACTCGACCATTTTATCAACCTGCTACTATTTTTGTACACACATGTATGCTGATAGTTTTTGATGTCGCCTTTGCTTTCGCAAAAATAAATTAAAATATTTATACACGGCGACATGGCGAAGGGAGGGCAGGAGACTCGCATATTAAATTAAATAGGAACCTACTCCAAATAACATCAACATGCTATTTCTATTTAAATTTCGCCTTGGGTCCATTGCTGCACGTAGAAGATAAAAATATATGTATAAGTAAGTACGGAAAAAAGAGAGGAAGGTGTACGTGTGGGGGGCTGGGCGCTAGGGATTTGGGGCGTGGCAACAAACATATTGCTGACAGAGTTAAGCAACAGCTCTTCTCGCAGTGAATGAATGAGTGAATGGCTGATGGTGCGCAAGTGTGTGTGTTTGTGTGCGTCCTGAGTGTGTGTCCTGACTGGCTGTGCGTGTGAGTTAGTGTCAAGTCAGGGACATTTAGTAATTCCGCAGGCATATCAAGGACAACGTACTCATAAATACCAAAGGCAAATGCCACAGAAGCAGCAGCAACAACAACTGCATCCTTGCCTCATCCCTTCTCTTTCTTTTCCCTGTCCCTCTCTCCTTCCCTCTCAGTCTGTCTGTTTGTATTTGTATGTATGGAATTTTTAACTTCATTATCGAACCCGGCTGTCATGTCCCCCTTCTTCTTGGCTTTCTTGGACACGGAGAAAAATTCTATGAAAATGTCATTAATTCGTGGAAGTTGTATGCTGCCTTTCGGGTTCTAATAGAATTTTATTGAAATCGGCAGAGATATTAGAACCTTTCGTGCTACTGGATATTTTTTCTTGTGTAGTCATTGTCTCTGGCCGCATTGCTCAACATCTTTCGCAGTGCCAGGCTCAACGGCATGCATACCTAATGCCCAATGATGTGCACACGGGACCCTCGACG